GGAAACCCCGCGTTTGCCGGAGACGGAAGCCAATGGGAGCGGACGCGGCGAGAAGAGCGGAGGCCCCGGAATTGAGCCCTGCGGAACGCCACGCCACCGCGCTCCATTCTTAAGGACGTGCGGTGAAACCAAAGCGACATGGGCGCAAATACGTGACCGTCGCGTGACACAAACTCTTTTCCTCCGCAACCGAGTCCGATCCCGCAGCGACCTCGACTCCAAAGCTCGCGCCGATTGGAGAGAAGGCGGGTTCCATCGCGGCGCCAAGTGTGGCCATCGAGGACCGCCGGGCGTTCATCGCGTGACGTCGGCTGGACGGTGATCGAGGGCGGGTCCGGTTGGAGACGGCGGGCGAGATGGCGGGAAGAAAGGCCGCCGGGTCCGGGAAGTATTTCTTTCCGTTGGCTTCGGACGCGGCGGCGCGGCAAAACGGACCTTTGGACGCCGGGAGAGAGGGCAAAAGCCATCGCCGAGGAAGCAAAATCAAAGACGTGATCCAACAAATGCACGTCAGCCAAAGTCGACGCCGATCGATCGTCAATTTGGCCATCGGCTTCTTGCCAAATGGGCGCGCGGCGCTCATACTTGTGCGCTCTCGGGAGAAAAATAAGAGTGTTGACGTGTGAGATCAAATTTGCCGGAGTGACACGGGGCCCCGTTGCCGCAAACATGATTTTGTCGTCGAGGAGCGTCGCCGCGTGGGCGAGCCCCCCCCCCCTCCCCACGAGTAACCGATGCCTGCAAGTGACTTGGATACGGACTCGGCGGTTTGGTTTTTTGGACGGCGTTTTCCATTCGGATTTGACTTTGCTCGCTTTGACGGCTCGGCTCGGCACGCCGCGCAAGAAGGCCGCTTTGGGAGCGACTCGACTTCACCTTGATGTGTTTGACGCCGCAGCTGACCAGTCGCGTCGAAAGCTGCCGGTCCCAAGCCACGTCGAAGATCTGCGGGGGGTCGACACAGCGGTGAGGCGGGCGGGCGGCGAGGAGGCGAGGCGAGGCGAGGAGGCGGGGCTCGTACTCTGTCCGAGTGTCCGGTCGCCGAGGCCAGGACGCGTCCTCTCCTCCAGTCCCACACGCACACGACGTTCTTGGCGTCCAGACCGACGGACGCCAGCCGCTACGGCGACGGGGCGGGCGATCAAGGCGGGACCGAGCCCGATGCGGGGAGCGGGCGCGGCGGCCTCACTCACCTGTCCGTCGGCGTCGAAAGCCAAACAAGCCACGCCGGGCGGGG